GATGGAGGTAACTGAAAATTGAGTGGGTGCAGACACCCAGCAGAGAAAGTCACCTCTTACTGTGGTCCAGATGGGCAACCTTTGTGCTCAGTAAGAAAAGACACGTCCTCCCATCAAAGCTGCACGCAATGGCTGGTGAGACCTTCTTCCCTCCCTGGGGATGGATTTCTTTTTTATTTTTAAAAGCACCCCCAGCAGTCATTATGGGGACTGGGAGGTTTTGCATTTCCAGGCAGTGGCCTGTTACACCCTGGGAGGCAACAAGAAGAGCCAAACAGAGCTGGGTGGTTTCCCCACAGGAGTTTGCTGGGATGAGCTGGGCTGGCGCCATGCACCCTGCTGTGCCCCAGGCACCCCACAGCACCCTGAGCACCAACACCAGCCCCGTGCACCCTGCTGAGCTCCATGTACCCACGCCAGCCCCAGGCAGCAACACCGGCCCCGTACACTCACACCAGCCCCGGGCACCAATGCCAACCCCAGGGCAGGTGGACACTGGTCCAGAGGCTGCATGTCCTCCAGTTCACGGAGGCCACGAGTGACGTCAGATGAAGCTGTGCCATATCGAGTGGAAATAACCAATTTGTTACAGCTCTCAACTCTTCCGTAGCACCACAAAAATATTCCCTAGTGAGCCTGGGTAGGATGGGTGTCTCCTTTCAGAGCAGACTTGAGCCCTCAGGTAAATTACCTGTTCACAGGAGAAAGGATTAGAGGGAGTGGCAACCCATGACGCTCCCAAATGCACAGAGCAGAAAGAATAATAGCCCAATGCGTGGTGAGTAAGAGCAGTGTGCTCAGGCAGGGAGGACCTCCTGCTTGGCAGACGTCAGGAAGAAAGGCACCCACACCTCTTCTGCTGCAGCCACCGGACTGCCACAGGTAATCCTTTCTCCTTGGGTGCCTCTGCCTTTGCACAGGCTGCCAGCGAGGGACCATCCCTGGGGACAGCTGAGGAGAGCCGTAGGTAGTTGAAGAGCCCCATGGATAGGACGGCGGAGCTTCCCTGGGGGTCCTGGGTCGGAAGGAAAGTAGTTTCTGCTCACAGGAGGGGCGGTGGGAACACGCGGGGGTCAGGACCGTGCTGCTGGTGGAAGAGGTTTCACGCTGCTGCACCTCTCGGAGGTGACCATGAGCTCTCACAGTCTGGTGAGCTCAGGGATCCTTCACAGAAGGAATATTTTAGCAGGTTGGCTGTTAGGAGGAAAGGGCCATCCCGGGCAAGGCTCTTCCCTTGAATTTGCATGCTATTCTCGTGACGTTACACCTCAAAAATGCTTTCTGTCTCTCCTTGCTGTTCTGAAAGGCTGTCTTAAAAGTAATGAGACCAAAGTCTCCTGGGGCCGGGCAGCTGCAGAAGGGCTGTGGTGAGTGGATGTGGCTGCCACCCTCGCTGTGTCTCCCACATCTGCCCACGCATCCCAGAGACCCACATGCTCCTCAGGACCATCCCGGGAATGATCCCTCAACCGCCTTCCCCTAGGGAAGGAGAGCCCTGCTGCACAGCAGGGATGTCAGCAATGACAGGCAATGCAACGGAGGGGTCTCAGCCCCGAATTGTGGCCCCGGGGGGGTCGGGATGGAGGTGAAAAACCCTTCCTTGCCCAGAGTGGGAAGCAGCCATAGGAGGTGGGGTGTCACTGCTCTGGGTGGGAGGAGGGCTCAGGGTTCTGCTGAGCCGAGCCACAGCCACCCTGACCTCATGCTGTGAGCAGGAGGGTGGACAAAGGGTGTCCCAAGGTCCCTTCCAGCAGAGCAGCTGTGCCTGTGTGATACTCCACGGATCTGCTCCAGGGACAGCAGAGGGAGCAGACGGCCTTCTCCCCAGCTGCAAAACCACCTCCTGCAGCATGGGAAGCGGGTTCCTCCAGCAGAAGAGAGAAAGGATGATGAAGGTTAGGTGGGAAATGACAGAAACCTGCTTGCAGTTCTCCTTTCTTTCCCCAGAAAGATATTTTGCAGGGAAGCAATGAGGTGGATGCAAGATACCTGGAGCTGGCATCCGGCCATGGTTGCTGCTTCCCACACAGCCCAGCACAGGCACATGCATTCGGTAGGATTTGGCAGGGGTCCTTGCTGGGGGCTCCACACAATTTAACTGTTTAAGCACGACACGCAAGAGCTGAGGCAATATTTCTGTTGCAGATTTGTTGTCTCTAACAAATAAAATGATAGTAAAATGGTTTGTGGTAGGAACACACCAAAACAGATACTTTAAAATCCTTCCCAGGAAGAACAGCGAGTCTCCTGGGACAGTATTTCACTCCGGTTTGCAAAAACAGCTCAGGTGTGTCCCAGGGTCTCTTTCAGCCATAAGGAGAGCCCAACCAAATCACATCATTTCATATTAAGAACAAAACCCTCCATGGTCCTGCAACTTAAAATTGGGTGGTTTACTCCAGATTAGTTCAGTTATCAGTTCAACCAAATAATCTGTTCTTCTGACCATCCAAGCCATTGTCTTAAATGAATATGCTATAATTGTGGTGGGTTGACCCTGGGTGGATGCCAGGTGCCCACCAAAGCCGTTCTATCACTCCCCTGCCTCAGCTGGACAGGGGAGAGAAAATGTAACAAAAAGCTTGTGGGTCGAGATTAAGGACAAAGAGAGATCAGATCATTTACCAATTACCATCATGGGCAAAACAGGCTCAACTGGGGGAAAATGAATTTAATTTGTTACTGATCAAATCAGAGTAGGCTGATGAGAAATAAAAAACAAATCTTCAAACACCTTCCCCCTACCCCTCCCTCCTTCCCAGGCTCAACTCCACTCCTGATTTCTCGACCTCCTCCCCACCAGTAGCACACAGGGGCAGGGACAGGGAATGGGAATTGGGGTCAGTTCATTACACGTTGTCTCTGCCATTCCTTCCTCTTCAGGGGCAGGACTCCTCACACTCCTCCCCTCCTCCACAAACTTCTCCAATGTGAGTCCTTCCCACGGGCTGCAGTTCTTCACAAACTTCTCCAGCATGGGTCCCTTCTACGGGCTGCAGTCCTTCAGGCACAGACTGCTCCAGCATGGGTCCCCCACGGGGTCACAAGTCCTGCCAGAAAATCTGCTCCAGCATGGGGTCCTCTCTCCACAGATCTGCAGGTCGTGCCAGGAGCCTGCTCCAGTGTGGGCTTCCCACGGGTCACAGCCTCCTTCAGGCACCCACCTCCCCGGGCTGCAGGTGGAGATCTGTTCCCCCGTGGACCTCCCTGGGCTGCAGGGGGACAGCCTGCCTCACCATGGTCTTCCCCACGGGCTGCAGGGGAATCTCTGCTCTGGTGCCTGGAGCACCTCCTGCCCCTCCTTCTTCACTGACCTGGGTGTCCGCAGGGCTGTTTCTCTTACATGTTCTCACTCCTCTCTCTGGCTGCAGTTTCTGTGCCGCAGCAACTTTTTTTTCCCTTCTTAAATGCGTTATCCCAGAGGTGCTGCCACCTTTGCCAGTGGGCTCGGTCTTGGCCAGCAGTGGGTCTGTCTTGGAGCTGGATGGCGCTGGCTCTGTTGGACACAGGGGAAGCTTCTAGCAGCTTCTCACAGAAGCCACCCCTGTAGCCCTCCTACTTCCAAAACCTGGCCACACAAACCCAATACAATAATCATCCCCTTGAAGACCAGATTTGCCTGGGAGAGTATAGCTATATAGATACACATGCATTCTTCTGCATACAAGGATCTAATGGAGAATGTGTGATTAAAATCTAATGGAGTTTGGACTCTGGCATTGTTCAAGATCAGGAAAATGAGCAATTTCTAGAACCAATTAGAGGATTTCAATTTTATAATTATTTCACCTGTTGAGTGGTCAGATTGATGTACTAACAGAAGTGTCATGCAGGCCAAGAGAAGTGTGTGCAATCCCTGGCTTCTCTGTCAGTTCCATCAATGTCTCTCACACTCATCATGTTGACAATGTTTTGCAGGGCACCATGATGTGGCTGTTCATAACCATTGCTTATTTAATGTGCATCAGTGAAAAGTCAGATGCGAGCCCCGAGGCATCCATGGATGTTGTAAGTCCTGACTTCTCTCCTGTCTTTTCCTGATTGGGCATGCAGGCTACCTATGCTGCCATAGTCTGGGCAGGACCCATGGTCTCTGTGTGTGTATCTTATCTTCACCAGGGTTTGGTACCAGGGTTTTATCAGAGCTTTCCTCTCCCTGTGCTTAGGTACACAGAGATTTATGGCAGACATTTATGGGGGAGTTCAGTCCAAGTTGACCGATTTGGTCAACGCAGCTGCCTCAGGCTTGGAGCTTCACTGTTATTGCTGCCCTGCTCTTCACAAACATTGATTGCAACATGAAAAGTGATAATGGGTCTTTCTTTACCAGACCTGCTCAGGGAGTGAGGGAAACTCACACCTGCCAAAAATTTTAGCTGAAGTCATGACATCACCACAGCATTGGTGAAAGGGACATTGGGAGGTCCCTACTCCACCCTCCCACTGGCAGCAGGAGTCACCACCACCTGCTCAGGGCAGCCACTGTTGGCTTTGCCTAGCTAGTCTTCCTGACACCCACCGGGATGGAGACCCCCACCTCCATGGGGACCTGTCCCACGCTGTCCTTCCCTTCCCACAGGGTGAAATCATCCACTACCATGGGTACCCCTACGAGGAGCATGAAGTGGTGACAGACGATGGCTATTACCTCACCATGCAGAGGATTCCTCATGGCAAAGACAACCCAAGAAGCATGAGCACCTCCCATGAAGCAGAGGTACAGTGCTGCAGCATGTTCTGCCCCTGTAAGTGCCATGAGAAGATCTACCTGGTCCAGGGACCCAGAAAGCTTTGTTGGGCTGGAGTAGGCCATGGTCAGGGCTGCCTCGTCATGGGCTGGGTCCTCAAGGAGACAACATTCCTTGGAGGATTAGCCTCGGGAGCAGAAGAAATGCAGGTGCCAACCATGCCGACTTTCTTGTTCTGAGAGGATCTGCTCCAAAGAGAAAGGAAAAGATAAGGAGAATGAATGGGACAGAGAAATCTTGCCCCAGGTTTTACTCCAGCTCAAAGCCAGCCAGTGGAGCAGCGAAAGTCATTTGTCAGCAAAAAAACCCCCTGTGTCCAATCCAATGCCATCTCACCATTTCAGCTCCTTTCTGTTCTTCACTTGAACCACTGTTTCAAAGCGGAGAGGGTGATGCCCCATTCTTGGCAGGGTGTCCCTCTCCTGAGAAGCAGGAGGACTGGCATATGAACATGGTAAATAAGTGTAAAAAGACAGATTTCCATTCAGGACACTTTGTCCTCAACTGTCAAGGGTGGAAATATGAGTCTTATATTGAGGGTCTAAAAACCAACAGAAAAAGAAAAGACAAAGGGGAAGAAAAAAAAAAGGAAAGTCACTTTTATTTCAACTTTTTCATGCTGCAACCTGTGGTCACCCTACCATATGAATTCAGATATCCTTGCATTGACCCTGTTGTGGCTGTGAAGATGGACCTGCTTTGAGCAGGGGATTGGAGCAGAGACCTCCAGAGGTCGTTTCCAAACTAAACCTTTCCATAACCTCTCTTCCACTCTCTTCCTACAGCGCTTCAGGCTTCCTGGTCCTTTGTAAAAAAGATCTTAAGTTTGTTCTGGGGAGCTAAGACTTGCCCATAAGGCTTAAAGTGGGCAGAAGTGGGTGGAGGAGATGCTCTTGACCCCTCCAGTACCCATGTCTCTTGCAATGGGGCAGCATGGTGTTGCCGTGCCATGGGAGGTACTTAGAGGTACCGCTGGGTTTTCAGACACAGAGTACCTGAGCCAAACAAAAGGCACTGTGAGGAGGGCAGTCTCCACGCAAAGGGCACAGTCACTGTCCAGACAGACATGGGGCTTGGTTTCTTTCTTCCTGGGAGCATAATTTACCAAGCTCCATTCAGTGCGGAGTCTAACCTTATTTTTCAGCTTCACTGTATCAATTTTCTCTGCCCTGGGATGACCAAAGAGCTTACTTCAAAAAAACCTCTCCAAAGACGTTGAGGACATAGGAGACTATCTCCCTGCACTGGAGTCACTTCCCCAGGGGGTTGCTGTCAAAGTGATACCGGGATGTGAACAGTCAATTTTGTTAGTAGTCAAAGAAAATAACTCTTCTTTCATCTTCTTCCTTCTTCAGCTCCAAAGTCTGTGGTCCTACTGCAGCATGGCCTGGCGTTAGAGGGAAGCATCTGGGTTACCAACTTGCCCAACAGCAGCCTGGGTTTCATCCTTGCCGATGCCGGCTATGACGTCTGGATTGGAAACAACCGGGGGAACAGCTGGTCGCGAAAGCACAAAGAGTTTGAGTTTTACCACCAGGAATACTCAGCTTACAGGTATTTTCTGTGAAACTGCAGGGTGGGCAGGTACCTGGTACCCTCAGCAGTGTCCATAGGCTGGAGGAGTAGCGCCGCTAACAGTTGCACCATCTGCCAGTGGGCATAAACACCACCACCAAGACGCCATAGGGGTGCCCATACCTGCCAGAGCCCTTGCCCACTCCCCAAATGGTCGTGGCACTCCTTGCTGTGTCCTGCCCATCACTCTCAAGGTCAGCAACAATAATTTTGTCATGTGCCCATCTCTATTGCAGCTTTCATGAGATGGCCATGTATGACCTTCCAGCAACAATCAACTATATTCTGCAGAAAACTGGACAGGAGCAGTTATACTATGTGGCTTACTCTCAAGGCACCACCACAGGTACTTAGGAGGAGATTGGACCACTGTCAGAGTTATGTTAGCTGCGCACCTCCGGTTTGGGAGTATTCTCCTGAGAGCCTGGACAGGGAGAGTAACATGTGGGCACGTCCAAACAGTGAAGGGAAAAGAGCAGGTAAACATCCCCATTTACTTTAAGAGAACAGTTTCGAGCAGTGACAGCCCAAAAATGGTTGCTGCAATGGCTTTTGGTACATCCCACTGCTGCCAGAGCCCCAATAAGGGCTTGTGAGAGCTGCAGCTGGGCTGAGCGGTCAATCTGGGAGCTGAAATGCATCAGCAGCAAAGGCTTCAGGTCAAGTCGCCAACCTGCTAGAGCCACCTCCAAGGGTCCTTTGGATGGGCACACGCTCCTGAGAGCTTCCTTCTTCCTCCCACAGGTTTCATTGCATTTTCATCCATTCCTGAGCTGGATCGTAAAATCAAGATGTTTTTTGCCTTGGCTCCTATCACCACAAACTCAAATATGAAGACACCCTTGGTAAGGCTGTTTGACCTTCCCGAGAGGCTGGTTAAGGTACGTCCTCACCACACGCTTATCTGTTGTGAAGGGGAAGGAGGGAATGGGAAGGTATCTACACCTGAGACATGCAGTGCTTGTACATGACTTCCATTTCCCTGCCCTCTGTGTGCCCTTTGCATTGAGCAGGTACGTTTGTGCCTACACTCTTGAGCCTGTGGGGCATTAAACAGTGTAAAGCATCCTCCTGTCCAGCCCTAATCAGCGAAGAGCTATTTCTAAATATTGTTTTGGGGACCGTCCTCCTAGGAGAAACCTCTTCTAGGAAGATCGGGGCTCTTCCAAGGCCATGGGCATTTCTGAAAAGCCAAAATTACAAAGCACAGCAAAGCTGTAGCAAGGAAGACAGCAACTTTCAGGGGTGAGCAGAGAGGTGGGCAGCGTCTGGAGGCAAAAGAGGAATGTGAACCACACTGATCAATGCCTTTGACTTTCACAGCTCATTTTAGGAAATACGGTGGTCTTTGATAAGGGTATCGTGCGGCAAGCAATTTCCAGTCTGTGCAGCTACTCCATCTTTAAAAGCTTTTGTTCCTTGGGCCTTTGCTTGCCTGGTGGGTTTACCAGCAGCTTAAATGTGGTATGTACATTCCAGCTTACCTTTTAAGTCATCCAGTTTCTCATTGTTTGAGCCCAAGTTGTCACTTTTTGATGGCCTTTTGCATCTTTAATTCATCGAAAAATCTGGCCATTGCGTCAGCATTTTGCAATCTGGCCGTTGTGTTGGCCATCACAATGCTCTTGCATTGGCACCAGAGGGAAGGCCAGAGTGCACACAAGGTCACGCATCCACTGGGCACGTTGTCTCCCCAACAGGGATGACATCAAAGGGAGAGCGAAAAAATTAATTCCGTGCTCCAGGGGCTCCCAGGGTTTCTCTTTCACTAAGTGATTTGTAATTTCACGTGTGTTTTAATAACAAGATGGGGTCTTACAGAATGAACTCCCCTTCAATCCACTGCTAGGAGAGGTGGGCCCTCAGACTCTTCAGCCTACTATCCCTTAGAATGTATTTATCCCCAAATCAGAGCCTTTCCCTGTGCTCCACTGCACTGAACACAGTCATAGAAAAATTCAGGCTGGAGGCACCAGGATGCGGATCTCCAGCCCAACCCAACTGCCACCAGGGCCAACACTACAGCTACAGTAGGTTGCTTGGGGACATGTCCAGGTGAGCTAGGTGGTCCCAGGGATGCCTTGCTCGCACAGGGAAGGGCTATTTTCTTGGGGATGGCCAAGATTTCAAGGTCCAGATCCTGCCACAAACCACTCGTGAGTAAAACTGGAGACAGGTCCTTGATCATAGGTGGAGTTAGAGCTGGGCCACTGTTTCTCAAGGAAAGTGTCAGTGTTATTTCTTAGTATTCCAAGGAGGAAATGCATTAGAACCAACATGTAGAGCTACTGTGATGAGTTGCACATAGTCTTTGCAAAAGGATCCTGAGCACAAGATATGGAGTTTTACTTTGGTTTGAAAACTACGTAGATTCATAACATGACCCAGCATCCCATGGGAATTGCTTGGCTTACTGAAAGGAGCTCTACAGCACCCTTCATGCTGCTGCCTGCGGTGCATGTTCACGCACCGTCGAAGTCAGCAGTGTGTATGGCTGAGCTGTGCCTTCACAGAGCTAAGACGAAGCAGCTTGTACAAATACAAGCTCCAGCTAGCCTGTGTGAGTGAAAGACTTGTGTGGCTGCTGAACAGGGTCAGTTTTATTTCTAATGGGATTTCCCTCCATGCAGAGAATAAATGTCTCCAATGGTTTCTTGCAGAGCCGCATAGATGTCTACCTGTCCCGCTACCCTGATTCAACATCCCCAAAAACCTTGTTACATTGGCGCCAGGTAATATTTCCAGATGCAGAATAAGACCGCGTGAAACCAGGACCCATGTTCTCTTCTCTCAGCTGCCCAGGACCTCTTCTCAGTGTTTGGGTATAATCCTCCATTGCTCTCCCTGCAGAGCTATAGTAGAGAGAAAGGGGGAAATTGGCATGAAACACTGGTGCAGATGCAGTTCTTTTGGCCATGACTTTCAACAAAAGATGACCAAGAGTCTTTGAAGCTGGTAGGAGATGGAGATGGAAGCAAAAACTGGTAATAAACCAGCACAGGAGTTGCTAAAGTTTAAGAGCTGAGGGTTAGTAGAGACAACTAATCACTGAAAACATGCACAGACTCATATCCTTCTGTTGTAGACATTGACCATGACAGACAAAGGAAACTTGCCCAAAGGTCTGATTCATGTCTTCTTTGAGGCTAGCTCTTGGTCGTACACTAGGTGCACGGTGGGTTACTAGGGCCTCAGCTTCCAGCCATCTACATTCTGCAGCTCTCCGGCCACCCAAGAGAGGAGGGATGAAAGATGTGAGCAATGTCAGGCGATCTTGCAGGCCATGCTGAGATCTTCCTGGGGGTTGAGCTCTCCTCCCAAAAGACAATATCACACATTACAAATAGCATCCCTGAGCCTTGGTGGTAGGAGGGAGCAGTGCAGTTCCCTGGTCACCTCTTTTATCTTTCTTATGGTCCCCTCTAATGCATGGATAATAAACACAGCTCTCCCTTTCCAGTTCTATCAAACAGGGGAATTCAAATATTATGATTACAGCAGTGACAACATGCTTCATTACAACCAGGTAAGAGAAATCCATTCTCATCTGTCAGTTTTAAAAGAGAAAAAAAAAAAAAGAAAAAAGAAAATGGCAATGAAAATATTGCAGTGGCTGAGACTGAATTTTATGGGATTTATGGAATTTACCTTATAGGTTTATAGCTTCCTTACAAAAAAAAGAGGTCTGTGATGTCATTCAGTGATGACTTTTTGACCCTCTAGTGAAAAGCGCAGGAGCCCAAGACATAGTCAGGATCTCTGGTGATAGTTTCTGTACTGTCTTTTGGGATAGGGGAGAAATTCCAAGCAGCAATCAGAAATACTTTGAAATTTGACTTGCCCATGACCTCCCAGGCTTTCCTTCCTCAAGCCACGCTATTTTCTTCCAGACCACACCTCCCTTCTATGAGCCGGAAAATATGAAAGCCCCGCTTGCTGCATGGTATGGTGGCAAAGACTGGATTTCAGTCCCCGAAGATGTAAACATGACACTGTCTCGTATAACCAATCTGGCATACAAAAAGTACATTCCCGAATTCATCCACTTTGATTTCATTTGGGGTATGCAGGCGTACGAACAAATATACAGAGAAATTCTTGAATTGATGGAGAAGAGTGCCTAGAGTTGGACAAGTGGCAGTAATTGTTGGTTTCTCATTTGACTTCTGGGCCTTCTTTTATTTGGAAAAAAAAAAAAAGTGAAGAATAGAAGAGGGGGGAAAGGCTCATTAAACTGCTACACTTCGTTGGCATTGATATTACTCTGGCAAGTGAGGAAAACAAGCCAATCCAATGATCAGGAAAGCATGTAGGATTTAAGTTAAATAAGTTAAGGTCCTTGCAGACGTTGGGCATGGCCCTTGGACCCTGAGCCTCCCAGGTGCCTCACTCACATGGGTTTCCACCAACAAGCAACTTCAGTGGAATTTGGCTCCTGGTCTCCGTTGAGGGCTCTGGCCTCCTTATGCTTGGGTTCCCAGCTGCAAACACCTGGATAGCAGCTCAGCTCCATCCTAGCCGCTGGTGTTTCACAAGAGTAGATGTGTTTGGATGGGACCACATGGTGGGTCGAGCAATGAATCCTGCCGGTGTAGCTTTACCCACCCTCTAGTGACTCTTCCATGCCAAGAATCCCAACATCCTGACATTCATTGCTTTACTTTACAGACAGAAGGAGCCTAATGTAGGGAACATTTTTCTCAAATTCATGTTGATTTGGATAACACCAGCCTTGCTTGTACACAAAAGGGTTTTCAATAAGTTCTACCAGGAAACACCATTTTGCACTATTTTAAGCAATATTCCCAAGGCACAAACCCAGCTGGAAAGGTCACCTTTTGCTAACTCTCAGGAAATGCTTTTTGTTTTCCTTATGTGGGAGAGAGGAGAAGAGTCTGGTGGAAGCCAGTAAGGAGTCTAACTCTGTTTTCAGCTTCTGGATTACACTCCTTAAAATATATTGATTAGGGGAGGAATGGTGAATTTGCCTGTTTGTGTAGCTATGTTCTTAAAATATGCCTAGGAGCAAGCAGGGCAAAGGATAAGACTCTCTTTCCACAAAGATGTAATAATAATAATAATAATAATAATAATAATAATGGTAATAATAATATTAATAACAATAATAACAATAATAATAAAGTAAGATAGGGTCCACTGGGCTCTGTGTGGTTGTACTGCCTTAAACCTCTGGAGTATGGGGGTTTTCAGCATGGACCTCTTGCCACTTGCAGGTAAGGGAGAGCTGCTCAGCGATAACTTTCAGTAGCTTGTAAAGCTGGCAGATGCCCACTGCCCACGATGCAACTAGCATTCCCCACCCTGTGCCCTGCGGGGAAGAGGTGGGTCAAAGAGGGCAGGTTGGGGGGTGAGGAGGGGTACCGAGCCCAGCACGGCTGCTCTCCAGAGGCAAAGTGTGGGTCTTAGCAGCACACTTTCATCCAGGTGTCTTCTGGTGCACGTCCTTGTAGGACAACTGCAGTGGGCTCTGTTTGAGTTACCATCAAAGGGCACTGGCTGTAAAGGTGTTTCACTTTCCATCCTTACAGCTAGAATTAAGCACAGAAGAAAACAGGAATGGGTGAGGTAAGCTTGGGGTGTAAGAATTAGGCTATAGGTTAGATATAATCTATCTTGAGCAACAGTGATTAGCTACCTCACTTAGTATATTTGTAATGACATCTTTTTCTGTGTGTGTGGTGGGTTGACCCTGGGTGGACACCAGGTGCCCACCAAAGCCGTTTTATCACTCCCCCTCCTCAGCTGGACAGGGGAGAGAAAATATAACAAAGGGCTCATAGGTTGAGATAAGGACAGGGAGAGATCACTCACCAATTACCGTCACGGGCAAAACAGACTCAACTTGGGGAAAATTAACTCAATTTATTACAAATCAACCAGAGCAGGGTAATGAGAAATAAAACCAAATCTCAAAGCACCTTCCCTCCACCCCTCCCTTCTTCCCGGGCACAACTTCGCTCCCAGATTCTCTACCTACCCTCCCCCCCAACAGAGCAGGGGGACGGGGAATGGGGTTTACGGTCAGTTCATCACACGTTATTTTCTGCCGCTTCATCCTCCTCAGGGGCAGGACTCCTCACACTCTTCCCCTGCTCCAGCATGGGGTCCCTCCCACGGGCTGCAGTTCTTCACGAACTGCTCCAGCATGGGTCCTTTCCATGGTGTGCAGTCCTTCAGGAGCACACTGCTCCAGCGTGGGTCCCCTGCAGGGTCACAAGTCCTGCCAGAAAACCTGCTCCGTGGGCTCCTCTCTCCACAGATCCGCAGGTCCTGCCAGGAGCCTGCTCCAGCGCGGGCTTCCCACGGGGTCACAGCCTCCTCCGGGCATCTCCCTGCTCCGGCGTGGGGTCCTCCGCGGGCTGCAGGTGGAGATCTGCTCCACCGTGGACCTCCCTGGGCCACAGGGGGACAGCCTGCCTCACCGTGATCTTCCCCACGGGCTGCAGGGGAATCTCTGCTCCGGCACCCGGAGCATCTCCTCCCCCTCCTTCTTCACTGACCTGGGGGTCTGCAGGGTTGTTTCTCTTACATGTTCTCACTCCTCTCTCTGGCTGCTGTTTCCATCTGTCCCAGCAACTTTTTTTTCCTTCTTAAATACATTATCACAGAGGCACTACCACTATTGCTTGGCCTTGGCTGGTGGTGGGTCCATCTCAGAGCCGGCTGGTATTGACTCTGTCGGACATAGGGGAAGCTTCCAGCAGCTTCTCACGGAAGCCACCCCCATAACACCTCCCCACCTGCCACCAAAAACCTTGCCACACAAAGCCAATGCAGAAGGGTCCCGGGGTGATGGTGGAGCTGCATCCTGGGCTGTGCGAGGGGGACGCTGCCATGACCCCATGGTGGCTGCCCAGTGGGTCAGGGATTAGAGCACCCACTCCACGAGGAGATGGGAGGGAGGTGGGCTTGTTGGGTCTGGCCGTGGGGAGGCAGGGGGCTCTGAGAGCAGCCCCCAGTTGCCACACAGGCAGGGATGGAGGGGCTGGATGAGGCTGAACCCTTCTCGGCGGTGACAGGCGATGCAATGAGGGGCCCCGGCCCCAGATTGCAGCCCAGCGGGATTTGGGTTGGATGTGGGGAACCCTTCTTTCCCCAGACAGCTCCCCAGGGAGGTAGAGGGTCTCCATCTGGGGGGGAGCGTTCAGGGCTCAGCTGGGCCAAGCCGGGCTCTTGCCCGCGTCATTCAGTCCCAGGGCTGAGTGGCCGGCGGTCCCCAGGGACGGCTGCGTGGCTCAGTGCCTACATGCTGGGAATGCCCATCCTCCATCCTTGGGAGCCAGCAGCCCCAAAAATGCCCTGGAGACCGGGTCGCAGGGCCACCACCCCACGAGGCACCTGGGGTCCTGTGGCGGTGCACAGCCCTTACCCCGTGTGGTCCCACCCTGCTGCTTGCTGGAAACCAGAGGTGGGGAAAATCCCTCCAAAATAAATGCTCAAAGGGGATTTCAGGAGCCTGCGCTGCAGCTCTGACACCCTCTGCTCTTCCTTGCATGGAAAAAAATTTTCCGGGGCCCTGCCTGCGCCCAGGGCCAGCAGGGATAAACTGGCTGGGTGACCCCAGCCGCAGCTGGCCGGGCATGCTGCTCGGCAAGGCGAAGTGGCGGGTGCTCCCCCAGGGGTCCCGGCTGGGAGCACCCCCGTACCTGCACCCCAGCCCCGCCGGGGTGGGCAGGAGGCAGGGGCAGCAGCGGGGCAGAGACCACCGCCGGCAAAGAAAACCACCCGGCAGCCTCGGGGACGGAGAGCTTTATTCGTGCCCACAACGGCTCGGAAAGGACCGGCGAGCGGGAGCTCTGGGGCATATGCCCTGGAGGGCAACTGCTCGCCCGCGGGACCGCTGCCAGCGCCGGCGGCTCTCCCCCGGTGCCGCCGGGACG